AAATGTTGCTTCTTTTCGAATTCAAAAAATTAATATTAACTTGAATATTTTCTTGTCATTTTGGAACACACTTAATATTATTAATTATTAATAATTTACAACAATCATCCACTTGTTCTAATAATTACAAGACCAAATCCAGAAAAGGAGAAACAAAGAATGTTAAAACTGTTAAGTATCTTTCGATTTAAAACTTAACTTTAGTAAAGACAACACAAAGTCTAATCGGAATGTTAGATAGCAATAATTTTAAACCATTAATCCATGTGAATAGACCAATGTTACTTCGCACACATTCTTTAAGGTTCTTCGCATACATTTCTCGCCTAGCACTTATTTATGGCCATATGCTTTCCTATTTCATGAATTTTTCATGAGAGAAACTCCAACTCTCACTTTGAGACAACACCATCTCGAAATTCACATAGGTGAAGTTCATATTGTATCCTTTACAATGAGACACGTACCATCGGTATTGAACTTCATTAAGAGTTTAGATGAAAACTCAACCCTCATTTCAAAGGTCAACATTATCACGAAATGTTTGACAAACATTCAAATCAACAACTTGTTGTTACCCATTGAATCTTGAGGTTAATGTTCTACTAACTAAGATTGGGTTGCCGCCGCTGTCAGAACTCTTACTCAAGGAGTTTCAACCCCATGCCTCTCGGGGTTATTGTTTACTAAGTCTCTGGCTAGTGGCTTAGTAAACAGATCAATAAAATAATAGCTCGATCGTATATGTGTGAATGATTACATCCTTGATTAATTTTTCTCACGAAAGGATGTCTAAGTCCTACTTGCCTAGACTTTCTGTTATACAATTTTTTTATGCTCTAATTAAAGTGGTTTGGCTACCGCAATGTATCAACATCTTTGAAACATTGTCTTTAGTCAATGGAACTTCCATTGGAAGGTCCCTCAACCATTCAACTTTTTCACAAGCGAAAGCAAGAGCCTCGAACTCTAGTTCTATGGTTGAGAGAGTGATCCGCATTTGCTTCTTGCTCTCCCAAGAAATTGCACCCTCTACTATTGTAAATATCTGCTCAAATGCATATTTTTGATATTCAACACTCAATATCCAACTCACATTGATATATCCTTCTAATATGGCAAGAAATCTACCATTATGGAGACCAAGATTTCTGGTTTTCATAAGATATATGAAATTTTCTAATGATGGCCTTCTAGTGCTCACCGTTTGGATCACTAGTAAAATCTACTCATTTTACTAACTGTAAATGCTATGTCGGGTCTAGTACATTTCATGCACTTGCATATTCGAATAGAGCCACAACTCATCCATCATCCTTTTGAAGTTTGACACTAGGATCAAATAGAGTGGTCACTTCCTTAAAGCGTAAGTGTTTGAACTTATCAAGCACTTTCTCAACATTGTGTGTTTGACTAAGTTCATAATCCCCACTATTTTGCTTTACTTTGATTCCCAAAAGTGTGTCAAATAGTCCAAGATCATTCATCTTGAATATGGAAGTTAGAAACCTCTTTGTTTCTAAAATTCTATTCATCTCGTTGCTAATGATCTATCATATAATCATATAATCAACATGGAGACAAAAGAATATCATAATATTCTCACACAATTTTGTGTACAAACATTTGTAATAAGAATTAGATAAAAAATGTTTTTTTTTAAATAATCATGCATGATGATGCAAGAAGGTTTTAGATAAAGTGAGAGATGAAATTATGAGCAATTTAAAGTAGTATAATATAAATTACAATGAGCACCTTATTTATGTTCACTTGTCTCAAATCTTCAATTGAATTTTTATGTTAAACCTTCTTGATCAACTTCATCATTGATGGGCATGACACTTTTGAACCTTTTCTTCTTTGATAATCTTTGTCTTCATTAAAAGTAGAACTAGATATAAGATGTATTTCTCATAATCTCTCCCTTTTGATGATGACAAACTCTTTGAATTCTTATTTTGATAATTATTGAAAAGTCTCCCCTGAGTTGTGTGTCTCCCTTTAATTGGTGAATCTTGCAGTGACAAATTCCAACATTTGATGTCATTGTTTCAATGCCTATTTTAATCCTTACAAGGATTTGACAAGCTTGCATGCTATTATCTGAAAGCATATAACCTTCTGCTTTCTCCATGTAAATCTTCTCACCGAGATCTCTATTTAGGAATGCTAATTTGACATCTATTTCAGGAACTATAAGGTTATGCAAAGTAGCTAATGCAAACGATACTCTAATTTTCGTTGTGCTTGTTACTAGTGCATATGTGTCAAATGATAAACGCCTTCTTTTTGTTTTAAACACCATTAGTCATTAATCTAGACTTGTATGTGTTTAGTGTACCATCACACTATGATACTTTCTTCTAAACATGAGGAGTCTCTTGAAGCTATTGCTTTCTAATAAGTCTTAGGATCATATTCCACTTAAAGAATAATAAGAATCTTACGAACAAAATTCTTACTATTTCCTTCCATTAGATAAATAAAATAAATTGGCTATCAATTTTGTTCGGTCCTAGATCCTTAGCCTTTCGGACTCTCTTACTTATTCTAAGTTCAGTTTGCTTTTTAACAATCCATGAAGAATCTTCCTCATGAGAATCTTCATTAGTGACAAACTTTCGGTTTGTGTTTCAACAATCCGTAGAGAACTTTTCTCACGGAGTTCTTCAATTTGTGGGAATCTCTAATTTCTTATCCTCCGTGATAAGGATCTCAAAACTCCACATCTCAGTATTCAATAATTACATTAGACTCCAATTTAAAGGTCTATACAAGTCATCAATAATAAATTTCTTTGAATACAAATATGTTAGTCACATAAAATATAAATCAAAACTCAATTGTATAATGTGAAATCACAAACCTTAATAAATTTGATCACTTTGATAATTAACAAATTTTCTCAAATAATTTCAAAATATTAGAATAGATAAATAAATAAATAAATAAGAGTAAAATATTTTGATTTTCTACTGTAGTGTCACTGAAAGAAAATCCTTATTAATTAACATGTTCATTTATTTAAAATATTTAACATATACATGTATCCACTTATTCATATTAACATATATTCGTAGATATATTGCCCCTGCTGATGCTTTACTAATATATATTTCATATTGATATTATTTCTAAGCTTTAATGCTACTTGAACATTAAAAAAAACATTTTAACCTTAGAAATTAAAATTTGCGTAATCAATGGTGCGGTGCGGTACAGTATAATGATTCTACACGTATATATATTTTCAACCATTAAGATATAATTTGTTGAAATGCAAACCAAGCAAAGTAAGTGGTCATTTACGGAAAAGATTTATGATACAGTAACAATACTCGTCATGTAGTCAAAAGAAAAGGAACATTAATGTACAGTACATCATATATATGATAATGCTATAATAATAATATGATAATTCTTACACAGTACTGCTATCACACTATGATACAGTTCCTATTCTAATACAGTTGATGACAAACTTTTCTAATAAAGTGACAATACTCATTATATAACCAAAATAAAAATAAAGGATTATAGAAAATCATTATAAATGTTAATGCCATAACTTTTGCATCCACTTTTAATTACATATTTTTATGATTCATTTTATTTGGTACAGAAGAATAATTTACCAAAAAATTTACAGCAACAACATTTGATATGATACAATATCTCATAATTCTATTTTAATTTACTAATTAATTCAAAAAGGTTTCCTATCATTTAATCTAATAATTGATATCACAACATGATTATTGATATTATGATTTTTCGATAATGATTAAATGAAAACTATCCGGATTCAAGATGAAGATTTTTGTTTGTGTTTACGACATATCAGTTTATCCTTTGATGTTTAAAACGAAAGTTTCGATTACCATTATTTGTAATACTTTTAAGATTGTTAAAAATTTAATTCAAACCGAATAGATCAAGGTTAGAATTATGAACGAAATCACTTTCTTTAAAAGTATTTCAAACACTCTCAATTGTCTTAGAGTTGGAACGCAGAAATACCTAGGTTAATTCAAATTTATATCGAATTTGTGTAAGACCGACAAAAACTTGATTATGTAGCGAATAATGTCTGAAATTTTTTACAAAAGACTATTTAATTTGTAATGTGATTTTTTAAATTCTCAAATGAGGTATTTATTGGTCATGCTATTATATAATTAATTTTTTAAATAATAAATAAGTGTGAATAATACAAATAATAATTTTAAAAAATATAGAGTAATAGAAATGAATATCCGGCACGGAACCGACTTTTTTAGTATTATTACTATTTGCACCGAATTGAAATCCCAAACCGTCACAATTTTGGAGACACATTAAAATTTGGTAGATAAACTTGGAAAATGTTAGGCTGAACAAAATACTCCTACACATCGATCTTGTTTTGATATATGTCACATGTTTGAATGACCAACAATGTAGGCGCCACCATTCACACTTTCAATGTTAGACCAATCCATGTGGAGAGTGATTGTTTCCATTGTAAAGTGTATTATGTGAAATCTAAACCACACAAAAATATAAAAAACAATTTATAAAAGACACTTAAAGGTAGGATTTGGAACTGTTAAATTCCATGGGACATAATCTTTGCCCAATCCATGTGCCATTATAACAAGAGTAACTATAATTCATAAGTCCATTGTCATACTAAATATGATCAAAGGTAGTAGCATACTCAAATTAATTCATGATTTATACTCAACCTAGAGGTTTAGATAGGTAGTATCTATCATCCTTTAAACAATTTTTAATTAGACATTAATTCACCTAACATCAAACTTTCTCACCTATAAACTATATAATAATAGTTCTTCTTTGTGCATGTTTAGTTGGACAGACTCTTGTATACAAATGTGGTGTCTATATAAAGACATATGGCATATCACCCATCTATGCATTAATTATAACTCCATAACATCATCATCATCATCATTGAGTCTGGTTCGTTTGAAAGTTTTCTTCCTTTATTTCAAATGGAATTTGGAAGCATATTGCACTTTCTTGAGGGAAGAACAATTTTAGTCACTGGTGCCACTGGATTTCTTGCAAAAAGTATCTCTCCCTAGCCAAGAACAAAAGATTTACAAACTCGGCGATGTTTTTAGTCGTCCCTCTGTGAGAGTCGCCCATGGTGAGTAAAGACATGGTGAGTAAAGACATTGTCGTTAACGATATGGCGAACAACGGGGTTCCACCCGACAATGTTTATTGTCCACCTCAACATATGACAACTCTCAACTTGGGTGACGATGAACCCTCGACGGATGTTTTCTACAATCCCAACTACGCAACAGAAGGGCAACTAAAAGAGGGTGACGAGTTTCGTACCAAAGAAGATTGTGTCCAGGAAATCAAACAGTTTCACATGGGGTTGTCAGCCGATTATAGAGTCGATCGGACAAATCCGACGCGGTATACGATCTATTATTGTAACGAGGAGTGCTCCCTCCGATTAACAGCGTCTTTCAGGAAGAGAAGCGATTCCTGGAAGATAGGGTCCATGGGTTCGTCCCATAGTTGTATAATCTCTAATCCGATGCAAGACCATCGTAAACTCAGCTCTCGATTGAGTTGCGATGAGATTCTGTCAGTCGTTAGCGACAACCCGTCTTTGAAGGTGAGTACCATAATTGCACATATGGTTCAAAGGTACAATTACACTCTTTCGTATCGAAAATACTGGATTTCCAGAACTAAAGCGGTTGAAAAGGTGTTTGGAAATTGGGAGGAGTCGTACAAGGAACTTCCGAAATTCCTGGTGGTTCTTAAACACTACTCTCTGGGAACTGTTGCGATATTGGAGACAATGCCTGCGTGTATAGCAAACGGGACGTTCGTTGGTGGAAATGTAATTTTTCATAGACTCTTTTGGGCGTTCGAACCATGCATCAAAGGGTTTGCATATTGTAAGCCTATAATTCAAATTGACGGAACATGGTTATACGGGAAATATAAGGGCACACTTCTCATGGCTGTGGCACAGGACGGGAACAACAACATTTTTCCAATAGCATTGGCCATAGTAGAAGGGGAGACTGCTGGTGGTTGGAGTTTTTTCTTAAAAAAATCTACGCTCTTACGTGTCTCCATAACCTAACTTATGTTTGATCTCTGATCGACACCCATCAATCGAGAGTGCATACAACAACCATGACAACGGTTGGCAGGATCCTCCCTCAACCCACGTCTATTGCATAAGGCATATTGCCCAAAATTTCATGCGGGAAATCAAAGACAAGATGCTACGGAAGAAGGTTGTGAATGCAGGATATGCACTAACTGAACCCACATTCAAATACTACCGTGACGAGATTAGACTAACAAACGCGGAAGCATTAAGATGGATTGATAACATTGATAGAGAGAAATGGACGCGGGCATACGACAATGGGGTGCGATGGGGCCACATGACAACTAACCTCATCGAATCAATGAATTTTGTTTTCAAGGGAATCCGAAACGTTCCAATAACTGCCTTGGTAAAGGCAACATATTTTAGGCTAGGATCACTCTTTGATAGCAGATGTACGAAGTGGGGTTCGGTATTACAATCGGGCCAGCTATACAACGATACTTCAATGAAATTCATGAAAGAGGAAGCTGCCAAAGCCAACACACACGTGGTCACAATGTTTGACCGTACAACTGGTTGGTTCAGTGTCTCCGAGTCTATTGATCACAACGAAGGAAGACCTAGGGGATGTTACCGTGTTGAATTGGATAAGAGCTGGTGTGATTGTGGAAAGTTTCAAGCATTTCATATGCCTTGCTCTCATGTCATAGCAGCATGTTCAAAGTTGCGCCAGGATCCAACCAACCTTCTTTCTGCAGTTCATCAAGTGATTAGTCTATGCAATGTCTACACATGCAACTTTCAGGTGGTGGCAAAGGAAAACTATTGGCCTCAATACGAAGGCGAAATTGTTTGGCATAATGACTTGATGCGCAGAAAGAAAAACGGTCGGCCTAACAGCACGCGCATTCGAACGAAGATGGATACCGCAGACAAGTTGGTGAGATTGTGTAGTTTGTGTCGGCAACCAGGACACAATCGTACAAAATATCCTAACGTAGGATCAAGCAGCAAATCATAGTTTCATATGTAATCTTGTCCCTTTAAATCAATATCAAATTTCATTCGATTAATAGCAAATTTTATTCCATTAATAACAAATTTCATTCAATTAATACCAAGTTTCATTCAATTAAAAGCATAGTTATCTGACATAACAACAAGATAAAGACATAAATTAAACAAACATAACAACAACGTAAAGACAAAAAACAAAACACTGCACCAAGGCGTCTACGATATCACGACCATCAACTTTATCTTCTTTGGTGTCAACATCATCACAAGGACACCGATATTATTTTCCACTTTTCTCCATTCACGAGTAACTCCGTTTCTCCCGGTCTCTTCGACCAACCTCTCGATTTTCCTAATCTTCTCTCTTGGAGCAATATCTCCTTCTAGCCAGCGGTTCAGTTCCCTATGCAAGTGCTCCAACGTCTGCGTATTCCACAAGAGCACCTTCATCGGAGGCTTTGTTGTTGAAAACACAACTACGACGTTTCTTTTTATTAGATCGAACGTTGGAAAGGGTTCCTCCGATGCTGATGACGACGACGACGAGGAACGTTGATTTAGAAGTGCAGACATTCTAGACTTCACTCCACTCAAAATGCACTAACACTTCAGTCTTTTGGTATACAATATTGTGAAAACATGTATGTGTTTGCAGTCGTATTTATAGACAAATAAAATAGTAGGTTCGCCATACGATATGTCGTAAATACCCTTACAAAATTTTTACACTTTAAAATTCAATAGTTAATCAATTTTTATGTTTTAAAATTAATAATTTAAATCAATTTATATGCTTCAAAATTAAATTGTTAATCATATTTTAATTTTATATTTAAATTAATTTATAATTAAAATTTTAAAAAAAATTATAATTTAAAAACAATAGTTATTACTTATTTCATAAATATTACTTAAAAATATTACTTAAATTTATTAAACCTTATTTTAAATAATTACTTAAATTTATTAAAAACTATATTTTAAATAATTACTTAAATTTATTAAAAACTATATTTTAAATAATAAAAATATAATTATTTGATAATAATATAAATTAAAACATTAACTAAATTAATTAAAAAATAGAAAATCTAGCCTACAACTAAATCGCCATTGTGATCGGAGAATCCTTCACATTTTAACCCTGTCACCGTTGCAATTGACGACTGCTCTCAATTTTCCAAACTCATTTTGCCTGTGTCGCCATTCTATTTGACGACTCGATGTTGATTTTATTGTCATTTTCATAAATGATTTGAAACATCCATTTGTTTGGTAATTGTTATCCAATACTTAGTTATAATAAAAAAAAATTCTTCATTTAAATTGGTAGAGAAGAATAATTTACTAAAAATTTACAGTAACAACATTTGATATGATACAATATCTCATAATTCTATTTTAATTCACTAATTAATTCAAAAGGTTTCATATCATTTAATCATTTCGAAATATCATAATATTAATAATCATGTTGTTATATTAATTATTAGATTAATTTAATCTTTAAGATCTTGATATTATCATTTTCATTGTATTTTAGTTTTTATGAAAAACAATAAAAACGTACCCGGATTTAAGATGAAGATTTTTGTTTGTGTTTACAATGTGTTTACGACATATCATTTTATTCTTTGATGTTTGAAACGCAAATTTCGGTTGTCAATATTTGCAATACTTTTAAGATTGTTAAAAATTTAATTTAAAAAGAATAGATTGAGATTAGAATTGTGAACGGAATCACTTTCCTTAAAAGTATTTCAAGCACTTTCAATTGTCTTGGAGCGCAGAAATATCTTGTGTAAGACCGACGAAAACTCGATTACGTAGCGAAGAATATCTAAAATTTTATTAGTTTAGGATGGAATTTTTTAAATTCTCAAAGGTATTTATAGGTCATGCTATTATATAATTAATTTTTTAAATAATAAATAAATGTGAATAATACAAATAATAATTTTAAAAAATATAGAGTAATAGAAATGAATATCCGGCACGGAACCGACTTTTTTAGTATTATTACTATTTGCACCGAATTGAAATCCCAAACCGTCACAATTTTGGAGACACATTAAAATTTGGTAGATAAACTTGGAAAATGTTAGGCTGAACAAAATACTCCTACACATCGATCTTGTTTTGATATATGTCACATGTTTGAATGACCAACAATGTAGGCGCCACCATTCACACTTTCAATGTTAGACCAATCCATGTGGAGAGTGATTGTTTCCATTGTAAAGTGTATTATGTGAAATCTAAACCACTCAAAAATATAAAAAACAATTTATAAAAGACACTTAAAGGTAGGATTTGGAACTGTTAAATTCCATGGGACATAATCTTTGCCCAATCCATGCCATTATAACAAGAGTAACTATAATTCATAAGTCCATTGTCGTACTAAATATGATCAAAGGTAGAATTTCTAATATTTGCATACTCAAATTAATTCATAATTTATACTCAACCTAAAGTTTTAGATAGGTAGTATCTATCATCATTTAAACAATTTTTAATTAGACATTAATTCACCTAACATCAAACTTTCTCACCTATAAACTATATAATAATAGTTCTTCTCTGTGCATGTTTTTATTTGGACAGACTGTTGTATACAAATGTGGTGTCTATATAAAGACATATGGCATATCACCCATCTATGCATTAATTATAACTCCATAACATCATCATCATCATCATTGAGTCTGGTTCATTTGAAAATTTTCTTCCTTTATTTCAAATGGAATTTGGAAGCATATTGCACTTTCTTGAGGGAAGAACAATTTTAGTTACTGGTGCCACTGGATTTCTTGCAAAAAGTATCTCTCCCTAACCATGGCTTAATTTTATATATATATGAGAGTTTACCATATGCTTTCTTTATACTATAATTAAATGAATTTGCAGTTTTTGTGGAGAAGATATTGAGAGTTCAACCAAATGTGAAGAAACTTTATCTTCTTCTAAGAGCTAAGGATTCAGAATCTGCTACTCAACGCTTTCGCACTGAGGTATTGAACCATTCAATGTATCAAATTATTAATGTGATGAATGGTTGTGATGTTCTGATTGTGTATCAATTATTCTTCATTGTTAATCTAGTTGAGTACGTAGTTAATTCAATTTTCTATATGTAGATCATAGGAAAGGACTTGTTTAAATTGTTGAAGGAAAATCAAGGTTCAAATTTGGACTCATTTATCCATGAAAAACTGACACTTGTGCCTGGAGACATTTCTGAAGAAGGCTTGAGTTTGAAGAAATCCATTCTAGAAGAGGAAATTTGCAATCAAACAGATGTTATAGTTAATTTAGCTGCAACAACTAAATTTGATGAAAGGTACATTAATTTAGAATCTTGCTCGTGTTCATTAATTTTGCAACACTTTTTTCATTAACTTGTATTAAATGCAGGTACGATGTTGCTTTGGGGATAAACACATTAGGAGTCAAACATGTTTTGAGGTTTGCCAAAAAATGTGTTAATCTAAAGGTGCTTGTACACGTGTCAACAGGTTAGTGTACATACAATAAAGTCAAAGTTGCATAAATATCAAACCTTGTATTCAAATAAAGGTGTCCTTTTAGTCACATTTTGTTGCAACAACTTAATTAGGACTACTTATATATTATATTGTTATGCTTTGCAGCTTATGTGTGTGGTGAGAGAGGAGGACTCATATTAGAGGATCCTCATGCTTTTGGAGTGTCACTAAATGGAGTGCAAGGATTAGACATTGATATGGAAAAGAAGTTGGTGGAGGAGAAACTGAATCACCTCCAAGCAAAGGGAGCAACAGAACATGATATTGAAGTTGCCATGAAGGACTTGGGTATTGAAAGGTACTTATACATGCGCTCGAAGACGGCCCTGATAAATAATGATATCTGGTTGCGTAGAATTTTAACCTATTATAATTTTTTGATGATTTCTATATTAAAAGAATACAAAATGTTGAATATGTTTGGTTTGTATATATCTTAATGAATTTATCAGAGCAACTGAGTATGGATGGCCAAACACATATGTGTTTACAAAAGCTATGGGAGAAATGCTTGTTGAAACCTACAAAGAAAACACGTCTGTTGTTATTGTTCGTCCCACCATTGTTACTAGCACTTATAAAGAACCTTTCCCTGGTTGGGTTGAAGGCTTAAGGTAAATAATCACCATGTTCTAAAAAAATTGAATAAGTCAATATTAACCTATTATAAAGTTATCTAATATTGAGAGTTTTTCTACAGAACCATAGATAGCATAGTTGCTGCATATGGTAAAGGAAAATTAACAAGCTTCATGGCAGATCTCAACGCAGTTTTTGACGTAGTGAGTCGCGGAATCAGTATTATTTTTCTTTTGGTTCTATAAATTGATACATTAATATTAATGTTGAGTTTTTGAGCAGATACCTGCAGACATGGTGGTGAATGCAATGCTAGTAGCTATGGTGGCTCATGCAAATCAACCTAGTGATGATATCATATACCATGTAGGTTCCTCCGTTAGAAATCCAATTACATACCGGAGTTTTAGAGATTTTAATTATCGATATTTCGCGGCAAAACCATGGATAAACAAGGAAGGAAAAGCTGTTAGGGTTGGCAAAATCACTATGTTTAGTAGCATTGCTAGCTTCAAGAGATATATGTTCATTCGATACTTGCTTCCTTTAAAGGTACTTAACTACTTCATATCACATCACACGACGCTGAGACTGATATGTTGACACTAGTAATATTTTGAAAACACAGACACAAACACGTTTTTCTCAGAAGTGTCGGTGCTACTACAAAGTTGTTAAGTGAATTCTACATGTATCATTGCGAGCACAGAGAGATTAGCTGAGTGAATTTTCCGTATTAACAATAACGTGCTAACAAAGTTTGCATCTAACAGGGACTAGAGTTGGCAAATTCAATTTTATGCCAATATTTTCATGGAACATATCATGAACTTAATAGGAAAATCAGTACTGTTATGCGGTTGATTGATCTTTATCTTCCTTACTTGTTCTTCAATGGCATGTAAGTTCATTTATAATTAGCACCTATAATCAAAATATGATACTACAACATTTGTTTCATACTTAACATAGAGTGTTTGTTTTTGCACACAGATTTGATGACATGAATACAGAAAAGTTGATATTAGCTGCAAAAGAAAGAGGTGTTGAAACAAATATGTTTTACTTTGATCCTAAGATTATTGATTGGGATGATTACTTCATGAATATCCATTTTCCTGGTATCTTCAAGTATGCATTCAAGTGATGTGATCACATATTTTAAATTGGCAATTGTTGATTTTTATTTATGTCCTATGAATTAAGCTTGTATTTTCATTTGATTCAAAATTAAACTTGAGATATTCATATATTTATATGTTGATTTGTAAAAGATTATTAAATATTATGGCTATTGATGGTATATATGTCAAATGTTAATTTTAGCTAGTGGTATGTGTAAATAGATGTGATTGTGATCATAAATGAAATGTGTGAATTCAGTGCATAACTAATTGAATCCCATTTTGTTTTTTATTCCTGTCCTTGTGTGTGATGACTATAAGTTTCAACAAGTGTTACCTAGAGTCTCAAGTGCTAGAGTCTAAAACTTCAAAATTCAAGTGTTCATTCATTACACTTAATTATAAAGTGAAGATGTTAAGATCTACATAAAATGACAATAGGTTTGATGGTAACTACCAACTCTTGACAATAAGAATGAAACAAACATATGAATGGGATCTTTGATTTTTAAGATGTGATGGAAGTGGTTCATAATGACTTGTAATGTCTCACTATTTGATGCAATTAATATTCAATATGTAGTGTAAATATTACTACAAAAATGGAGATTTCGTAACATACTTCCACCTCGTTCATACAGTCAACTGTAGTAAAATTTATTTATTTAGGTATTTTCTTTTTTCATTTTCAAGATACATTTTACCATGGTTAAATTTTCTAACAGCGGAGAAATGTGGCACATTTCTTTTGTTATTTAAAAATCAAAATTAAATAATATTTCACCATGTTAGATTTTTCAACTATAGAGAAATGTCTTTCTCAAAGACACGTTTCGGATCCTAGCACATACAACTTAGTTTTTCAGTCATTTTCATGACACTTTTACATTAAAATATCTTCATTCATTTTTACTATATATCTTGAAAATTTTAGCTTTGAAGATCAATGTTATGTTTCAAGCATATCGTTTACTTGATAAAGTGAAACTTGACATTAATCTTCAAACCAAGTTTTTCAATATATTATTTAAGTATCTTCAAATCCTAAACCTTCAAAGTTAGTGATACAACAATGCATCAAGAATGAAAGATTGAGTTTGGAGGCAGAATGAGTTAGGTTTAGTAAAAAGGAGAATGAACTGTTGAGTGTTTATATATACAAATCTGAAGAACATTTTCCCACGGTTGATATATATATATATATATATATATATATATATATATATATATATATATATATATATATATATATATATATGGGTGTGTGTGTGTGTGCGTGCGCGCACGCGTGCGTGCATGTGTGCGTACGTGCGTGAGTGCGTGTGTTTGTGTGTGTGTGTGGTTAAAATGTGGTATGTTATCACAATGATTGTTATTAGTAACCGTGGTGAGAATTATACTTATCAAAAAGTATAGCATGTGTGGTGGACTGTTAAATCTATATTTCCTAGGGTGACATGGATTAATTTGTTGACCCATACTTGTCTTTGATCAAGGAACGTCTTTTCTCATGTTTCCTATGATTGGGCGTGAGGGAACACTAATGCCAAGGTATTCCCTAATGGAGAACGATAGGTGGGAGTTGCCCCTCACGACCAGTTTGTAATCCTCCTACCCTTAATATATCTTTTAAAAATATATCACTGCATAATCCTCAAGGACAAGGGCTTTGATAAATGAAAAATTGCTTTAAACAACAAAGCATATGGGGTGTTCATCTTAGGGGATCCAAGTCCCTCAAGTGATGCATTGAATATCTCAGACGTGGTGTTAAGCCCCTCGGATAGGGCTTAGATCAAGCCCTTAGAAAAAAATTCAATTAAGTCTCTTGGGATAAACTATAATCGTGCTCATTGAGCTAAACTTTAAGTTGGATCTCGCCCGAGAAAACTCCAATTCACGAAGGCGGGGCATTTATATAAGCTCGTTTAATGGAAATCTAGCTCCCTTTGACAAGATTATATGTTGAGCCTGACTAATGAGACCTCAAGTCCCTCAAGTGATGTGTTAAACCCCTTGGGCAGGACTTTGATCAAGCCCTCAAACAAGAATTTAAGTAAAGTCTCTTGGGCTATACTTTGATCGTGGCACATGGTTTAGGCTTTAAGCTCAATGTCGCTCAAGAAAACTCTAAGTCTCTCAGGAAGGGTGTTTAGATAAGCTTGTTTGATGAGACTATCAGTTCCTCGGGTGAGTTTATATGTTGAGTTTGACTGATGAGACATCAAGTCCCTCGGGCGAGGTGTTAAACCCCTTGGAGGAGACTTCGATTAAGCCCTCAGACAGTAATTTAAATATATTCTCTTAGGATAGACTTGGGTTCCGCCCCTTTAGGCTAGAATTTATCTTGGACCATGTCTAAGACGATATCAAGTCCCTTAGGCGAGGCATATAGCCTTCAGGCGATATTATAGGTTAAGCTTGACAGATGAGACCTCAAGTCCCTTAGGTGAGAGATTAAGCCCCTCGGACGGGACTTCGATTAAGACCAAGACAAGAATTTTAGTAATGTCTCTTAGTATAAACTTTGGTCGTGCCCTTTGGGCGAGAACTTAAGCTGGATCCTTCCCCAGGAAACTCTAATCACTCGAGAGGGGCGGTTATACAAGCGTGTTTGATGGTGAATGCAATGTTGGTGACTATGATGGCTCTTGCAAATCAACCTAGTGATGATATCATATATCACATAGGTTCCTCTATTAAAAATCCAATTATATACCAGAGTTTCAGAGAGTTTAATTATCGATATTTCGCAGTAAAACCGTGGACAAACAAGGAAGAAAAAGCTATTAGGGTTGACAAAATCACTATGTTTAGTAACATTGCTAGATTTAAGAGATGTGTGTTCATAAGTTACTTGCTTCCTTTAAAGGTACTTAACTACTTCATATCAATGGACATGACACTGACAATACGACACTGACACTTGACACTTATACGTTCACATCAGTAATAATTTAAAAACATATACACATACATGACTTTTTTTATTAAATGAATCCTACATGTATCATTGTGTGCCTAGAGAAATGAGGTGAGTGTAATTTTTCAGATAAGCGACAACGTGCTAACAACGTTTGTATTTAACAGGGACTAGAGTTAGAAAATTCAATATTATGCCAAACATTTTCATGGAACATATCATGAACTTAAAAGGAAAGTCAATATTGTTATGCGGTTGATTGATGTTTATCTTCCTTACTTGTTCTTCAATTGCATGTAAGTTCATTTATAATTAGAACCTAAATCAAAATATGATATTACTAACATTTGTTTCATAATTAACTTAAGAGTGTTTGTTTTTGCACACATATTTGATGATATGAATACAAAAAAATTGATATTAGCTGCAAAACAGGGAGGTGTTGAAATGAATATGTTTTACTTTGATCCTAAGATTATTGATTGGGATGATCACTTCATGAATATCCATTTTCCTGGTATCTTCAAGTATGCATTCAAGTGATGTAATCACATATTTTGTATTAACAATTGTGGATTTTTATTTATGTTTTATGAATTAAGCTTGTATTTTCAATGGATTCAAATTAAACTTGTGCTACTTATTATATATTATACGTTGATTTGTAACAGATTATTAAATGTGATAATTATTGATGGTATATATGTCAAATGTTAATTTTACCAAGTGGTATATGTATTCCATATTTTAATTCTTTACTTTCTTGCAAAAGATTGCTTATAACTACTACACATAATCTTAATGCAATTGCACAATTATATTAATGTGTATTGCAGTTTTAAAGGGTAATTTAAATTAGTGAGTTAGTTGAGTTCCTTACTATACAAAACAAATTAATTACTGAAGTTATTGGAGTTATCATGTGCATTAAGTCTCATTAGTGTCTGAAAATCTAGTGTGTTGTATAAATAATAATTATGATCATAAATGAAATGTGTCACTACGCCAGAATTGACATTTAGCAACGCATAAAAAGACAACGCTTTTAGAAAAAGCGCTGCTAAAGAGGAATTAAAAAAAAAAATTGATAACCAAAGACAGCGCTTTTTCAAAAAGCGCTGCTAAATGGGGGTCCTAAGACAGCGCTTCTAAAAAGCGCTGCTAAAAGGGGGGTCTAAGACAGCCCAAAGACAACGCTTTTTAAAAAGCGCTGCTAAAGGGGGGTCCTAAGGCAGCGCTTCCAAAAAGCGCTGCTAAATGGGGGGTCTAAGACAGCCCAAAGGCAGCGCTTTTCTAAAGCGCTGCTGTAGGTCTAGTCTACGAGAGCGCTTTTTCCATAAAGTGCTGCTATATGGGGTACATTAGAAGATCTTTGAGAGCGCTTTTTAAAGCGCTGCTAAAGCTATTAAAAAGCGCTGCTATAGGTTTAGTTAGAATTAATTTAAAATACCCAACAGAATTTTTATGAGAAACAGAACAGTCATTACGTATTTCTTTCTTTCTTTTTCTCTGGCGAATAAAGAACGTTGCCCTATAAACCCACCGTTGTCGTCCAACCGTCGCCGTCCAACCGTCACCCTCCTCTGTTGCATTTCGCCGCCGTTCACCGTCCATCTGCTCGTCTGCATTGCATTTCCGCCATTGTTACGGTATTTGAAGTTTTACTCTGGTTTTCTTTTTTACGTATATTTTCACCATTGTTGTTGTAATCTTTAAGTAGAACTGAATATGTTTTTATTATTTGAATGCAATCAAGTTAAGTAGAACTGAATATGTTTTCACCATTGTTGTTGTAATCTTTAAGTAGAACAGAGAGTTTTTATTTGAGAGTTTATATGAGAGTTTATATTTGAGAGTTTATATTTGAGAGTTTATATATGAGAGTTAAGTATTTGAACTGAATATGTTTTCTACAAGAGTTTATATTTTTTAAGAGAGTTTATATTTTGTATGTTTTAAGAGAGTTTATAAGAGAGTTTTGTTTGTGATAACTGTTTGGTCATGAAATGTTTAAGAGAGTTTATAAGAGAGTTTTTAAGAGAGTTTTTAACTATTGTTTTGAGAGAGTTTCAATGTTTAAGAGAGTTTCACCATTGTTTGTGATACCTGTTTGGTCATGAAAATGCAATGTTTATAAGAGAGTTTATAAGAGATTTTTTAAGAGAGTTTTATATGTATAAGAGAGTTTTTAAGAGAGTTTATATTTTTTAAGAGAGTTTTATATGGATAAGAGAGTTTTATATGTATAAGAGAGTTTTTAAGAGAGTTTTATATTTTTTAAGAGAGTTTTATATGGATAAGAGAGTTTATACATATATTTTTTAAGAGAGTTTTATATGTATAAGAGAGTTTTTAAGAGAGTTTATATTTTTTAAGAGAGTTTTATGGATAAGAGAGTTTATAAAACCAACATGAATATGGTTTTATATGATATGGTTTTATATGTTATTATGGTTTTATATGTTTAGTTAGGATTTCTCAATGTTTAGTAAGGGTGTCATTTTGGTTTAAGGATTATCTAGTAATTTTAATATGATTTGTTTTGGTGGATTATCTAGTATTTTTTGTCTTGGTTAATTATTAATATGATTTTAATAAAATTTATATTTTGTCTGCTATAGGGGTTACCTGTGAAGAGCAAAGTTGTGATCGTTTCCAAGCATCCTATTGCGTAGCATTCTTAGAAGTTAGTGATTTCCTTACAGGTATTCTCTGTTTTGTTTAACTTTTATAGTTTAGTGTAGATTACTCAATATTATTTGAGGACTGCTTCTTGGAACGATAAAAAGTTACAGAGAGAAATATTGGAGAACACAGAAGCTTTGGTTAAAGGCGGATTTTCATGAACAGAAGAAATTGAAGATTCAAATTCATCTTAGTATCTGTAATGTTTATACTTTGTGTTTTGTTTTCATTGAATATTATGTGTAGTTAAACCCCGGGGTGTCCTTGATTTAGATCTGTAATAACTCTGATATTATTATTGCAATGACAATCTTCTTTCCTTAATAGATTTATTTTTTGTTATTTTTAATGCTTGTTCGGTCGGATAAACGGGTTTGATTTATGCTTAACGATTAGGCTGGACCGTCATTGTTAATGTTTTGCTTGAGATTATTCTATAGTAGGTATCACCTAGGATTAGGGATACCCTATAGAAACCTGAATATTCTTAATAAATTAATATTTAATTTTATCTGTAATTCTCTATGGACATAGAAATTAGGGTGGATAATTAAAGGTTTTCTCACTAATGACTTAGGAGTAAACACCTTAAAGAACCGATAATTAATTAGTTAAAATAAGTTGTTGCAGTGTTAATTTAGAGTTGTTACTGAATCGGATCATACACCATCTTTAGCATATTTTACTCATATATTTTTTAAGCCATTCAATCACTTTATTTATTTTATGTGCAATTGCTTTTATAATTTTACCAAACAACACCAAAACCCCCAAGATTTTGTTTAGTTGAATTAAATTTAGAACTCTGTATCGTCAAGCAGTCCTTGAGGTCGACATTTGGGACTTTATCCCTTATTACTACAGAGGAAAAATAGTGCACTTGCTATTTTTACCGATTACTCAACAAGTCAGTCAATATAGATTAAAGCCAATTAGCTTGACATGCTACAACATGACCTAAAACATACTTGGGTTCAAAAAAAGACAAGGCAACCATTGATTGCTTCTTTGAGCACAACGACACAAATGCTCCTAGTAATTTAAATAGGCATCCAGTTGTGTTTCTTTTGTCAATCTTGTTACGGCACCAATCAGCATCATAAAAGCCAATTAATTCAAGATCTTTATGTATTTGCATAATGGAAATATGAGACCATAGTGTACTGTGTCATTTATGTACCTCATTATCCTCTATGTAGCAATGAAGTTTTGATTGAGATGATTGCTCATAAATCTGCTTACTAGTCTAACTGAGTAGCTTATGTCTATCCTGCTTTGACATAGTTACCTCAATGATCCTACCAGTTTACTGAGTGTGGTAGCATCTTCCATGTTTTCCATCTCTTCATTTGAGTTTACTAGTTTCATATTGGTGTCAGTTGGTGTGACTGCAGTATTACACTCTAACATGTTGTGTCTTGCCAATATTTCCCTTGCATATTTGACTTGGTGCAAGATCATTCATCCTGAGGTAGATGGGAATTCTATGTCGAGGAAATAAGTTAGTTTGCCTAGGTCATTCATATAAAAACTTTCTTCAACTTGCCTTTGAATTGCTCAATCTCTTTCTCAGAACCTCCTGCACAAGAGGGTCATCCATATAAAGGAAAATAATCAATATGATTTCCCTCTCTTTGCCTTTAATGTAGACACCATGTCCTGAGTTATATTTTCTAAACCCTGCCTCAATTAAGAACTTGTCAATTCTTCTATTCCATGCCTTTGGTTCCTGCATCAGGCCATATAAGGCTTTGTGTATTCTGCAAACTATATATTTCTTTCATTTGATAATAAAACCAGGAGGTTATGCTATGAATACTTCTTACCCTATAGGGCCATTGAGAAAATTTCATTTGTCATCAAGATGAAATAGGGGACACCCTCTACTGAAGGCCAAAGAAACTACTGACCATATGGTCTCATGTCTTGCAGCAAGTGAGAAAACTTCATCATAGTCAACTCCTTTTTTTTTCCGCAGGAAGCCATTTACATCAAGTCTTAATTTGTGCTTGATAATCTTCCCCTCATGATTGACTTTAATCTTGAACACCCATCTGAATGCAATAATATTCTTAACAAAATGTAACTTGGTCATTTCCCAAGTTTTTCTTTATTTTCTATATATGATAGTTCTTCAGCCATATATTTCTTCCAAACTTATTCCTTGAGTGTTTCCTAATAGTCAGATGGCTCAGCATCTGCAAACAATGAATAATGGTCATTTCTATATTAGTGCCTACATTACTAATTGAATCTAAGTTTAATGTTTTCTCAATGTTAGATTGGGTTGCTACCATTGTTGGAAATCTTACTTAAGGAGTTTCAATTTCATACCTTTCAAGGTGGTCTTTACTAAATCTCAGATCAGTCGTTTAGTAAATGGATCGGGTAAATTATAGCTTGAACATATATAGGGGATCCAAGTCCCTCAAGCGATGCGTTGAATATCTCAGACGAGGTGTTAAGCCCCTCGGATAGGACTTAGATCAAGCCCTTAGAAAAAAAAATTCAATTAAGTCTCTTGGGATAAACTATAATCGTGCTCATTGAGCTAAACTTTAAGTTGGATCTCGCCCGAGAAAAATCCAATTCACAAAGGTGGGGCATTTATATAAGCTCGTTTAATGGAAATCTATGTCCCTTTGACAAGATTATATGTTGAGCCTGACTAATGAGACCTCAAGTCCCTCAAGTGATGTGTTAAACCCCTTGGGCAGGACTTTGATCAAGCCCTCAAACAAGAATTTAAGTAAAGTCTCTTGGGCTAGACTTTGATCGTGGCACATAGGTTACGCTTTAAGCTCAATGTCGCTCAAGAAAACTCTAAGTCTCTCAGGAAGGGTGTTTAGATAAGCTTG